TAATGATGAGCGTGGAACTGTTGTCAATTGTCACGAAAGCTAATCCTCTCCACATGCTGAGATAACAAGGTGTAGAGCTGGATGAGCACAGCAGGCCAAGCAGCATCAGAGGAGCAGGAAGGCTGACGTTTCGGGCCTAGACCCTTCTTCAGAAAATTTTCTGATTTCATGTGTTTCTGGTTTGTGTGTTCATCCAGCTCTACAACTTGTTATCTCAGATTCTCCAGCATCTGCAGTTCCTACTATCTCTCTCCACATGCTGTTTGGGGGATCCAGACCCACAGCAATGTGATTCTCTCCTAACTGCCCTCTGAAATGGCCACTCATCCAGGTTAAGTATTCCATCACCAACTCACCAAGCCTCTTACTCCACCACTCTCAGCGCTTCCTGCAACATCCTCCCCTCACTCGCTCTCCCCCATCCTGATCCCTGACTTCACTAACCTTGCGTTCACTCTGCGATGCCTACGGTCTCCCTCAGGGCACCTCGCTAGCTGCCCCAATATCTGTGCCGCCTACTTTGACCTCCCAGAATACCAGCCTCTCATTCCAAGTGGCAAGCTGCCCTCAATAAGGTAGGAAGAGTCAAGATTGGGCAGTGAGCTGCCCAATGTTCTACTCCTCACCCCTTGAGGAGGGAAGTATCTGAACTCTGACTGCTCTAAGTGGCTGACTGACTGTCTCGAATCCTGTGGTCTGGTATCAGAGACTGTCCTTGGCTTGCTGCTGTGTTCCCCTGAGCGAAGGCTAGCCCCCTTGACTTGCTTAAGGCCCTTGTGTCTGCACCGAACAAAGTACAAGCAGCATGTAACTCATGTCAAAAGGTAAGAGATAAGGCAGAGAATCATCCAGGCTGGCTGAGAGTGAGCAAGAGCTGTGGCAGTGAGTGAGGGGCCCAGAGATGCAGCCTGGTGCAGACCCTGAGCTGGGGTGGTATGCGCCTGAGCATACAGTGTCCTGGCTACAGCATTACAATGAAAGTTCCTAGGGGCAGCGTTGATGTGCAGAAGCACCCTGTGCACTGGAGATATGCCACAAGGCTTCTTTGAAACTGACCCATTTTGGATGCCAACGTCAGTAGACAGGGGAGCATGTGGTCATGGCTAGGGTGTGTGCCCTGAGATAGTGGTGCCCAGTGACCAACATGGATGCCATTTGAAGTAGGAGGTGACTTCCATGGTGAGTTTTCTCAAAGTCTAGCATTTTTTGGTGAGTTTGGAAGCCAGATAGAAATGAGACAAGTTGGGCCATTAACCAATGAGGCATTTAACAGACAATAGAGCCATACAGCACAGCAACAGACCATTTGGCCCAACCAGTCCATGCTGAACATAATCCCAAACTAAACTAGTCCCACCTGCCTGCTCCCGGCCCATATCCCTCCAAATCTTTCCTATTCATGTCCTTATCCAAGTGTCTTTTAAACATTGTAATTGTACCCACATCCACCACTTCCTCAGGAAGTTCATTCCACACACGAACCACACTCTGTGTAAAAAATTTGCCTCTTATGTATTTTTTAAATCTCTCTCCTCTCATCTTGAAAATCTGCCCCCTCCTAGTCTTGAAATCCCCCATCCTAGGGAAAAGACAACTACCATTAACCTCATTTATACCCCTCATTATTTTATAAACCTCTGTAAGGTCACGTCTCAACCTTCTACACTCCAGTGTCAGCCTATCCAGCCTTTCTTTATGACTCAAACCCTCCTTTCCCAGCAACATCCTGGTAAATGTCCTCTGAACCCTCTCCAGCTTAATAATATCCTTCCTATAACAGGGCGACCAGAACTGGACACTGTACACCAGAAGAGGCCTCACCAACATCCTGTACAACTCAACATAACGTCGATATTTAAAGGTCTGACCAATGAAGGCAAGTGTGCTAAATGCCTTCTTAAACACCCTGTATTTATGTGATGCAAACTTCTAATTCTTATGTACCCGAAACCCTAGGTCCCTATGTTCTACGACACTATCGAAGACCCTACTATTAATTATAAAAGTTCTGTTCATTTTTGTTTTACCAAAACAAATCAGCACTTTGGGTGGCACAGTGGCTCAGTGGTTAGCACCACTGCCTCACAGCACCAGGGACCCCGGTTTGATTCCAGCCTCGGGCCACTGTCTGTGCGGAGTTTGCACATTCTCTCCGTATCTGTGTGGGTTTCCTCCGGGTGCTCCAGTTTCCTCCCACAGTCCGAAGATGTGCAGGTTAGGTGGATTGGCCGTGCTAAATTGCCCCATAGTGTCCGGGGATGTGTAGATTAGGTGGGTTATAGGGGAATGGGTCTGGGTGGGATGCTCTGGGGTTGGTGTGGGCTCGTGGGGCCGAAGGGCCTATTTCCACACTGTAAGGATTCTATGATTCTATGAAAATGCATAATCCTCTTTAATTAGCAATTTGACACTCCCAAGCAAGAAACTCACCATCCCAGTTGTCAAAATCATAAAGGGTGGGGCCAAGTGTTCCTTGAATTGAGATGGGTCTAACTGGGGCTTCTCACCCACTTGTGCCAACATGACTCAAACCCCTCTAAGATCTTGCGGAGAGTTTCAAGTGGAGTATGATATTTCACAGAACATTAATACTGAAGAAGTCACACAGGACTCTAAATGTTAACTCAGTTTCTCTCTCCACGGACGCTGCCAGACATGTTGAGTTTCTCCAGCACTTTTGTTTATATTTCACACCTCCAGCCTCTGTCAAGTTATTCCCAGCCCTCCTCCCTTCCTACCCCTTTTTGCACACCAAGCTAAACGTGGGACTCCAGACCCTCAGCGATGTGGTTGACTTTTCACTGCTCCGTTGGGGCAATTAGCGATGGGCGTTCAGTCTCAGAACCTTTGAGCTGGATCCCATTCACAAAGTTACCTCACCTCCTCAGGCAGTGTTTGGGCGGCTAATTCCAGTCGGAGCGTGGTTGCTCCAGTGTCCGATTAACCCGGTCCTTCTCAGCAGAAGAATAGACGCTTCCACGATCCTCATTAATCAGCAGCGATGTTCAGCACGCTGTGTTTTACTCCCTTTCCCCTGAAAATCCAGGAAGATCCTGAAGAGTTGAGAACCCTCCAAGACAATCCCTCCATCCCTCCTCACTCTGAGCTATGTTTCACATTTATTTTCAGGAACTTTCAGTTGATGAGTTACAATGTGACTTATATATTAATTTGATACCTGCCCCCACATCCAAAATCCCAAAATGTTCAGAAGCAAGGTCAAATTTCCACAATTTTTGTATTTTTAGTCACTTTCTTTACCTTGTGCTTCTTTTCTTGTTCAATATCGAGCTTTGGTACCCATGGTAACACCAGCTGGTAGTTATGGTAACGGCCTGCATTGGTCAAATCAAAGGCTTCCCAACTTCAGCAGGCAGCGAAGGGACCACATCATGAAAAGATCACCGTGGCAACACTCTCAGGTAGTTATTTCTGCTTTTCCCTCCTTCTCCTCCAGTCCTCACTACGGAATTTCACTAGCTTGAGCCACACGGAGCTGCCATCATGAGATGGAGCAGCAGGAGTAGGCCATTCAGCCCATCGACTCTGCTCTGCCTTTCAACGAGATGGTGGCTGATCTGATCATCGTCACCTCCACATTCCTGCCTTTTCCCCATAACCCTCCATTCCCCTTACTGATTAAATATCTATCTCTCCCAGCCTTGAATGTAGTCAATAACCCAGCCCAACGGCCTTCTGCGGTAAAGAACTGCACAGATTCACACCCCTCTGGGTGAAGAAATTCCTCCTCATCTCAGTCTTAAGTGGGTGACCCCTTACTGTGAGATGATCCCACATGGAGAAACTACCTCTCCACATCTAACATGTCCAAGTCCCTTAAGAATCTCGACTGTTGCAATAAGGTCGCCTCTCAATCTTCTAACTTCAGGCCAAACCTACTCAACCTCCCTTCAACGTACAGTCCCTCCATACCCAGGATCAGCCAAGTGAACCTTCTCTGGGCTGCCTCCAACGCCAGTCTATCTTTCCTTCGATAAAGGACCCAAAACGGTTCACAGTATTCCAGCTGTGATCTGCCTAGTGTCCTGTATAGTTATAACCAGTCCTCCCCCTATTGTTAAGATCCCTTTCCCTCTGAAGTAAAGGCCAACATTCCATTTTCCTTCCCTACTACCCACTGAACTCGGACACTGGGCGTTTTGTGATTCGTGGACACAAACTCCTAAATGCCCCAGTAGCTGTAGCATTGCCCCAGTTAAATAATATCCAGCTCCTCTACTCTTCCTGTCAAGTGCATGACCTCACATTTACCATGAAGTGGAGGTGCCGGTGTTGGCCTGGGGCAGACAAGCTCAGAAGTCATACTACACCAGGTTATCGCCCAACGGGTTTATGTGAAATCACAAGCTTTCACCTTCCGAACTTCGCCTGACAAAGGGGCAGCGCTCCGAAAGCTTGTGATTTCACACAAACCTGGTGGGCTATAATCTGGTGTCGTGTGACTTCTCACGTTTACCCACATTATATGGAAGGTTTCGGTCACGCATTCATCCTGTCTGTGTCCCTCGGTCATCCTCGACACTCACCTGGTTTGTGTCACCTGCACACTTCTCAATAGTACATTTCAAGTTACTCCTACAGTTTGTAATTGCTTGGGGCCCCCCCACCGATCCCTGTGGCACACCACGAGTGACAGGTGGTTCACAGTATTCAGGCTGGTATGTGCCCACCGTCCTCCACGTTACAGCTTTACAACACAGCTGTCTGCTGTTGGGCTATGCCTGATCCTGCCTGCTCCCGCCACACCCAACTTTGCGGGTCCCCTTTCTCCCACACCCTACTTCTCCTCCCCCACCTCCATCCCCCGCACCAATGTCACACCGCCACCCCCACCGCCAACCAGCACCCGCTTTCCCAGTCCCCAGAGGAAACAGGAATAGGATGAGGCCATTCGGCCCAATCGCTGGCCAATTCTGCAACCCCCCCCACCCCACCTCCCTCCGGCCCACACCTCTTTAAACATACACAGGACGGCAGAATCAGGGAAAGATTTGATCTGTTTTATCTCCCATCTGCACCGACCCCGCACCCCCCCGCAACATCTATTCACATTTTGTCCGAGCGTCGCACAGACTTGACAACAAGAGCAGATCGTAAGCTGAGGAAATCAGGGTTAAATTAAATAAACATCTTTGCAGCTGGCGGAGGGGCTCGGGAAAAAGGGGGTACAAGTTATAACATATGTACAAGCTTTCATTGGACATTCTCTATGCTACAATAGTTTTTATATCGATGTATTGAGAATCTTTTAAATAGCAGGTGATTTTCACATTGGTCCTTCACTCGCACACCAACGATTAGCTCGGGTGGATCGATAAAGTCAGTTCTTCACCTGTACTAGAACCACGAACAGCAATGCTCAGTGGAAGTAGCTGGTCCTGCACCTTCGCCTCCATCTCGCTCCCTCCTTTCCGTTTCCCCGGTCCGTAGTTTCTGGTTCCTGAGCCTCCTGTCATAGAAAGGTAGCAGATTGGTTAGGATAAGGTCTACATTCCCTACATGTGACTCTCCCTTCCCCTGATGGGGCAGACGTGTCTGCGTGGGTTACCTCCGGGTGCTCCGATTTCCTCCCACAGTCCAAAGATGTGCACGTTACAGTGGGTTGGCCATGCTACACTGCCCAGTGTCCAGGCTAGATGTGTAGGCTAGGTGGATTAGCCATGGAAAATGCAGGGTCAAAGGGATAGTATAGGGGGGGTGGGCTGGTGGTGAGTCTGGGTGGGATGCTCTTTGGACAGTCACTGTGGACTCGATGGGCCGAATGTAGCTGCTTCCACACTGTGCGGATTCTATGATTCTATTTGGGCCAAAGTTGGGGTCAGTAAGTCAGACATGGATCGAATGTTGGGGGTCAGAGTCCTGGGCGTAGCAATCCTGGATTTCCAGGGTTTAGGGCTCCTGAGGGGGTCAGGGGTCAGGGACACAGGTCAGTCTATGTGTCTTGGTCAGGGTCAGGGTAGTACCTGGGCCAGTTTCCATCCTCACCTTGACTGTAGGCCAGGCTTTCACTGCTTCTTAAAGATCTAGAAAACAATAAAATGGAATTAGACAAAATCACGAGTAAAGATTTATCACCGCACTTCCTGCCGCCTCTATTAATGTGACCTGTTGAAGATACATAGGTCCTTCATTGTAAAGGGGATCAAAGGTTATGGGGAGAAAGAGGAAGAATGGGTTTGAGAAATGTATTAGCCATGATTGAATAGTGGAGCAGACTAGATGGACTGAATGGCCTAATTTCTGCTCCCATGTTTTATGGTCTTACAAGAGTCACTCCACTCCTGTCCAATGACCTTCAATAAGGAATGAACAAAAAAAAACTCCAGCATCTCACCCCACTGTCAAAGGAGAAAAGTGCCCAGTTCCACTATTGGACTGCACTGTCACCTCAGGACCCTAACTCTGCAATGCAGGGAGGCCATCATCAACAAGGTGGTGCGGAGAGACCAAGGTGGCGGGGGGGAGGAGAGAGTTGTGGAGGAGAGAGAGAGTGAGGGGGAGGGGGTGTGAGAGAGAGAGAGAGAGAGAGAGAGAGAGAGAGAGAGAGAGAGAGAGAGAGAGAGAGAGAGAGACAGCACGTGTGAGCGAGACAGAGAAAGAGGACCAGAGGGAGAGAGAGTAAAAGCAAGAGGAGGGAGCAATGGAAGGAGGGATACAGGGAGAGGGAGAGCGGTGGGGGGGGGGAGACCAGGGTGGGGGACAGCACAGGGGGAGGGAGAGGGAGGCGGAGGGGGAGCGCGAGCGGGAGTGGGAGCGCGAGGGGAGAGGCTAACACCATTGATGGGTTTCAAATTACAGCCAGTTGGTAGCCATCTCCATGGTAACCAGGGTCATAACTGTGGAAAGTTGGCTCCGATAATTTGGTCCCTTTCCCTTACCCCTCCGTGCCCACAAACCCACCTGCCTGCACCCCCCTATGTATTAAAGGATTCTCATTAACCAGGGATCTGAGGGAATTACCTCAGATATTTAGCTCATTAACTTCCCACTCCCCCTCCCATCATCCACCATCAGCCATTCTCTTCCCGTCAACCTAACCCTCCCCCAGCCCTTGCAATACCCAGAGCTGACCATCCGAGCAGGCCAGAAGCTGGGAATACTGCAGCAAGTAACTCACCTCCTGACTCCCCAAAGCCTGTCCCACCATCTACAAGGCACAAGTCAGGAGTGTGATGGAATACTCCCACTTGCCTGGATGGGTGCAGCTCCAACAACACTCAAGACACCATCCAGGACAAAGCAGCCCATTTGATTGGCACCACATCCACAAACATCCACTCCCTCCACCACCGACGCTCAGTAGCAGCAGTGTGTACCATCTACAAGATGCACTGCAGAAATTCACCAAAGATCCTCAGGCAGCACCTTCCAAACCCATGACCATTTCCATCTAGAAGGACAAGTGCACCAGATACACGGGAACACCACCCCCTGCAAGTTCCCCTCCAAGCCACTCACCATCCTGACTTGGAAATATAATTGCCATTCCTTCAGTGTCACTGGGTCAAAATCCTGGAATTCCCTCCCTAAGGGCATTGTGGGTCTACCTACAGCACATGGACTGCAGCGGTTCAAGAAGGCAGCTCACCCCCACCTTCTCAAGGGGCAACTAGGGATGGGACAATAAATGCTGGGCCCAGCCAGTGACGCCCACATCAAATGAATAAACAAAAATGAAAGCTCATTCAGTAATCTGAACGATGTAATTACGGTGTTTTTGGGGAAGCCGGGGTGTTGTCACTGGGTGAGAGACCCAGAGTCCTAGCTGAATTCTCAGGGGGGTTTCTGCTGGGGGGCTTCAAATCCCACCATGACAGGTAGAGAAATGTAAATTCAATAAAAACTCTGGAATTGAAAGCGAGTCTAAATGTCACCATTGTCAATTGGTGCAAAAAACCCACCTGGTTCACTAATATCCTTTAGCAATATAGGAACAGGGGGAGGCCATTCTGGCCATCAAGTCTGCCCTGCCATTCAGTACAATCATGGCTGATTGAACACTTCAATTCTTTTTACTCACCCCCATCCCCACAACCCTGTAGAACCTGGAAGGAAATCTGCCGTCCTCACCTGGTCTGGCTTACATGTGACTCCAGGCCCACAACAATCTCTTACTGCTCCCTGAGATAGCCTGGGGTTCCACCCTGGGCAATTAGGGATGGGCAATGAATGCTGGCTTTGCCAGCAACATCCACATGGACAAAGAACAAGAACAAAAGCATGAAGATGGCCATAACTGTTGACATGGAAGCTCAGCAGGAACACTGATCACAAACATCAGCCATTAACTACTTCCCCCACTTCCTCAACCTTCAATCAGTTTTGGGTAGACATCTGAAGTGTCATAACATTCAAGGCTATAGGCCTATTGTGGGAAAGTGGGACTAATGCAAGTACTGGAGTAATTTTGTAGTACAGACTCAATGGGCTGAAGGGCCTCGTCTGTATTGTATTATTCTATGATGAATCAGCAACATTATGGCTCAAACTATAAGCATCAGTCAGTCATTAATCTTTGGCTGGTTTCAATTGTTGAGCTAAAGGTCCCTGGCCAAATTAAAAACCAACATTTGTGATTCCTGTCACCAAATTTGTTTCAAAATTAGAAATTTCTTCGGTAAATATATGGGATACCTTCATACAAATCTTCATTCAATCATGGCTGATATGTTTCTCAACCCCATTCTCCTGCCTTCTCCCCATAACCCTCGATCTCCTTACCAATCAGGAACCTATCTATCTCTGTCTTAAATACACTCAATGACTCGGCCTCCACAGCCCTCTGTAGCAATGGGTTCCTCAGATTCCCCCTCTCTCTGGCTGAAGAAATTCCTCCTCATCTCAGTTCTAAAGGGTCATCCCTTCAGTCTGAGGCTGTGCCCTCGGGTCCTAATCTCTCCTACTGATGGAAACATCTTCCAAACACCCACTCTATTCAGGTCCCTCAGTATTCTGCAAGTTTTAATGAGATATGCCCCTCATCCTTCCCTTGAGGACAGAGGGGTTCAGGAAGGGAATATGGATGGTGGGACAATTAAAGTCAGGGGAAACTCAAGAAAGGCAGAGTTGGAGGGGTGGGGTGTAGGGGTACAGATCTTGGAGAGGTGTGGGATTGCAGGGATAGGGAGGGCACAAGTCTAGAGAGGGATGTCCTCAACACAGAGGTGAGGTGATGGCCTAGTGGTATTATTGCTGGACTGGTAATCCAGAGACCCAGATAAAGTTCTGGGGGCCCAGGTTCGAATCCTGCCACGGCAGTGTTGCTGATGCCTTCACAGCTCAATCGTGCCACCAGTGCCCACATCCCACCCGCCCCTAGCCCCACAGGGTAACACGTTTGTGATGAATGACTCAGATCGAGGAGGACTCACAGAGAGAGGGTCAGCAGAAAAAGCTGCTACACTATTCCTCATTTCACTGGCGTTCCCTCGCAGAGGGATCAGGGAGACGTTATTAAACCTGGCGTCTGGAGGCGATCGCGAAGTCCGTGAGCTGGAGGAGTTCACTGGCCACACGTTCCCATCGTGCTGAGGAAACCAAACACAGTGAGTGAGTGCAGCAACAGCAGAGAGAAAATCCCCATCACACAGCCCTGGAAACATGACCACATTCCCCTCTCCCTACATACTGCACCCCACCCGCCCCGAACCCCTCTCTGTCTCCATCAGACCATAAGACACTGGAGCAGAATTAAGGCCATTCAGCCCATCAACTCTGCTCCCCCATTCGTTCATGGCTGATATGTTTCTCAACCCCATTCTCCTGCCTTTCTCCCAATAACCCTTGATCCCTGACCAATCAGGAACCTATCTATCTCTGTCTTAAATACACTCAATGACTCGGCCTCCACAGCCCTCTGTGGCAATGGGTTCCTCAGAATCACCCCCCTCTGGCTGAAGAAATTCTTCCTCATCTCAGTTGTAAAGGTCATCCCTTCACCCTGAGGCTGTGCCCTCAGGTCCTAATCTCTCCTACTAGTGGAAACATCTTCTCCACATCCGCTCTATCCAGGCCCCTCAGTATTCTGTAAGTTTTAAGGAGATATGCCCCTCATCCTTCTAAATTCCATCGAGTACAGACCCAGAGTCCTCAACTGCTCCTCATATGACAAGCCCTTTATCCCCAGGATCATTCTTGTAAACCTCATTGGGCCTGTATCAAAGTGCTGATATTGGAGCACATCCAAAAAAAAACTGCTCACAATATTCTCAATATGGTCTGACCAGAGCCTTATAGAGCCTCAGCAGTACGTCTCTACTCTTATATTCTAGCCCTATTGAAATGAATGCTAACATTGCATTTGCATTTGCCTTCCTAACTGCCAACTGAACCTTAACCTTATCCTGTGCTAGGATTCGCAAGTCCCTTTGCTTCAGATTTCCATAGCTTTTCTCTGTTTAGAAAATAGTCTATGTTTCTATTCTTCCTACCAATGTGCATAACCTCTCACTTTCCCACACTGTATTCCATCTGCCCCTTCTTTGCCCACTTTCCCAGCCTGTCCAAGCCCTTCTGCAGCCTCCCTACTTCCTCAACATTACCTGTCCCTCCACCTCTCTTTGTGTCACCTACAAACCTAGCAACAATATTCTCAATTCCTTCATCCAGATCATTAATGTGTAACACAAATAGTTGTGATCCCAACACTGACCCCTGTGGAACTCCATTAGTCACCAGCTGCCATCCTGAAAAAGATCCCCTTATCCCCACACTCTGCCTTCTGCCCATCAGCCAATCCTCTATCCATGCCCCGTGCCCCCTAACACCATGGGCTCTTGTCTTATTTAGCAGCCTCCTGTGCGGCACCTTGTCAAAGGCCTCTGGAAATCCAAATGAATTATGTCTGTAGGCTCTCCTTTGAGGAGGTAATGAGTAAGTTAGACAAAGAATTCTAACAGATGTGTCAGACATGGCCATCCCTTGACAAAGCTGGGCTGACTCAGCCCTATTTAACCCTGCACTTCCAGGTGTCCTGCAATCTCATCATTAATAACGGACTCTAAAATCTTACAGATGGCCGAGGTCAAGCTAACTGGCCTACAGTTTCCTGACTTCTGCCACCCTCTCTTCTTAAACAGCGGTGTTACACTCTCCACTTTCCAGTTCTCTGGAACATTCCCTGACTCCAGTAATTCCTGAAAGATCACCCACAATGCTTCTTTTTCTTCTTTTATAATCTTTGTGTATATTGCCAGCCAGGTTACTCTCATATTCCCTCTCCTCACCCCATATTGCTTTTTTTTTGGTTTTTAAAGGTTTCCCAATCCTCTAGGTTCCCACTAATCTTCACCACATGGTATGCCTTTTCTTCTGTCTTTATGCTGTCCCTGACTTCCCTTGTCAGCTGTGGTTGACTAGTCTTCCCCTTAAGATGTTTCTGCTTCTTCGGGTTGAATTTCTGCTGTGCCTCCCAAATTACCCCCAGAAACTCCTCCCTTTGCTGCTCCACCATCTTCCCTTCCAATCAACTCTGACCAGCTCCTCCCTCATGTCTTTGTAGTTCCCTTTACTCAGTTATAATACTGTTACATCACGTGCCAACTTTGCCTCTCAAACTGCTGGGTGAATTCGATTTAATTTACTTTGTTGTGTATTTTGTTACAAAATACACTGAAAAGTATTGTATAGTGTCATCACTCTCCAGCACCATCTTAAAACACAGAAAAATAAACCAGAATTCCCTGTTCCCCAGTGAGCTCTGCCAGAACCTGCTCCAAAAAAACCATCTTGTGGAATTTCTTGAGATTTACTCCCAACCTGAATTTCCCAGCCCACCTGCTTATTGAAGTCCCCCATGATTATTGTAATAGTGCCTTTTGTACACGCCTTTCCTTCCTCCTGTTTTATTTTCAGTCCCACATCCTGACTACTGCTGGGAGGCCTGTACACAATTCCCATCAAAGTCTTTTCTCCTTTGCAGTTCCTTATCTCTACCTGCACAGATTCCACACCTTCCAACTCTGTTACTTTTTGCTGTCGATATAATTTCATTTCTTACTGACAAGAGAGCCCTGCCCCCTCTGCCCACCTGCCTGTCCTTTCGATAGGACGGGTACCCAGGGTTATTTAGTCCCCAGCTCTGATCCCCTCGCAACCACATCTTTGTGATACCCACAACATTGTACCTGCCAGTTTCAGTCTGTGCTACAAGCTCATTTGCCATGTTTTATATACTAGGTGTATTTTTGTAAAACACCCTCAGACCTGCATTGACTGTCCCCCTTCACATCGTTGCCCCCGTAGGTGCTGTACCTGAAGTTAGATTCCTGACCCTTTCCATATTCTCTCCTAATACCTGTTCTGGAAACTTTCATAACCTCTGCTGAGCCCTTCCCTTGCCCACCCCCCAACACTTTAGCTCTTTCCATAATTTTCCATGTGGCTGAACTCACCCCCCGCAACTTCCCATGCACCCCACCCCCAACAACTCCCCCACACCCACCCCATGCTGCCCCCCATGACCCCCAGCATGATGTAGGTGAAGCCCGACCCATAGGAACAGCTCCTTCCTTCCTGGCTAGGTGAAGCTCATGGATAGAACGGCCCTCACTCTCTCTGCCTGCACCCCCTCAATCCCTTCCTCTCTACCCCCATACTCCACCCTCAAGTACTCCCTCAGCGCTGACCCTCCGACAGTGCGGCGCTCCCTCAGCGCTGACCCTCCGACAGCGCGGCGCTCCCTCATTATTGCACTGGGAATGTCAAGTGTAGAATTTATATTCCAAGCTCAGATACGGGACACAAACTCGCCTTGTCTCACTGACGAGAGCGTTTCTGCTACTCTCAGAGACTGCACTGATAACGCAGAGAATAATGTTTGAGGATCAGAATGCATTTTGAAAAGAAAGCTGGAAACAAATTGTGGCCTTGGTAGATGGTGACCATGAATCCATTGTCGGGAAAAACGCATCTGGTTCACCAATGTCCTTTAGGGAAGGAAACTGCCATCCTTACCTGGTCTGGCCTACATGTGAGTCCAGAACCACAGCGATGGGGTTCACTCTTAACTGCCACCTGAAATACTCCAGAAAATGCTTCAATAGCATTACAAGTATCATGACAGTGTAAATACTGGTCAGGCCATGACACACTCAGGAGCAGCTGATTTCCACATGTATCCAAACTGGGGTAGTAGGAACTGCAGATGCTGGAAAATCTGAGATAACAAGGTGTAGAGCTGGATGAACACAGCAGGCCAAGCAGCATCAGAGGAACAGGAAGGCTGACATTTCGGGCCTAGACCCTTCATCAGAAAT